ACAATTTTAAAAATGTATTGGCAGATGTAAGTTAAATTGACCTTAAGAATAGTTTTACAAGCCCCTAATAAAATGATTTAAAAAAAGCAACAAAAAAAAAGAATAGTTTTAATATTGTAAATAATATCACACAGAGTCCATCAGACCCCAACTATTTGTTGATTGTTTTTCCAGGCACAACTTAAACACTATTTTTTGTTGCTTTATTTTTTTTTTAAATCAGTAAAAGAGATTGGGTCCTAGACGCTGCAGTCATTTAAGCAATGGAAAGGCTGTGCATTTGTCCTTTTCCTCTAAGTACATATAAGCTGTGATCTCACAGCTAGTATACCTCATGTACATGAAATCCTGCACCAGACATCCAAATTGTAAATTAGGGAGTAAAGTTCCTCCCTAACTCTATAGGTAAAAAAACAAAAACTACCCTGGAAAAGAATTTCTATGGAAATCTAACCAAAATTCATTAAGTGGACTGTGACAAGATTAGAAATGATACAAAAAAATAGTATTTTAACATTTGGCTATCAACTTAGGAAATGATCTGTCTATTATAAATCTGTGTGATTTTTAAAGGTAATGCAATCTACTCTCATATGATCTGCAGAATTAAAGCAGAATGAACAGGGAAGTAAGGAAATGAATTGCAACTGAGTGCCAAGGCAGGCCATCATGCCAGAAGTAACGAAGGCCGACAGACACTAACTGTCAGGGCAGAACTTCACAGGGCCAACCAGGTGACAGTCGACAGTTATCACACAGGCAATGTGGATCTCGCAATTACCAGTTGTGTTAAATGCACCAAATAAAGCTGCTAAAATTAATACAATAGGGCACCGCCTTATGTGTTCCAGGCTGCAACTGTGTGCCATTTTAAAATGCTTTTATTAAATTTATTTGTTTTTAAAACATCACACGAGGAAAGCACTGAAACTAGTGTGACAGTTCAATTGAATAAGTATTCGAGATTTTTGGAGGGATGAATAGGGAGATATTTAGAACCCTTCAACCAAATTCTGTCCCCTGCCCCACGTCCCACTTGATCACAGTGGATTATTGATGTGCTTTGTGGATTTTTCTTTCCCATTGAGGTATCTGGTCCTCTTGGCTGGTGAAGAACCACGAGGCGAGGCACACCAGCTTCATTCAGGAGAATGCTCTTCAAGAGACTGACCAACAGATCCGGTTTTGGAGCGGCAACCGCCCAGATCTCAAGTTTTTGAATCACAGACTGAAGTAGCCCTCTTGGGGGTGGAGATTGTGGTGGTCTCAGTCCATCTCTCAACATGATGGCTGATTGATTGAAATTGTGCTAATATAACTCTCTTGCTGCTTCTGTGCAGCTGACCTTAAATTAACCTCCTGGGGCGAGACTAGGAAGCTGATGCGATCATGGCAGTTTTCCTTCCCCTGCTGTAGTTGGGGGAGGTCAGACGCTTCTTCAGCCACAGTTCCATCATTTACTCAGAAAGTCTTATTTTATGGAAAACAAATTAAATTCCAAATTAACACCTAAATGGAAACCTTCAGAGGACTTGCACAAAAAAAATTATATGTCTCAGGGACTTAAAATTGTTTACCTGTCACTTATTACTTTCTCTTCAGAATACTCTTCACAGCCATTGATTTTGGTGGCCTACAGTGACGAGAAGTCAAACCAAATCAGCTAATTGTAACAAAAAGCACCAATCTCATACTGGCCAATTATTTCCTATTCCTGTTATATTTCTTCAAAACACACACACACACACACACACTCATTAAAAACACATTAAAAACTGTGGCCGAAGCATCTTCTGTGGCCTGAGAGCTTTCCTTTTTCTGCTGCTTCCATTCTTAATCCTCACACCCATCTGGCTTTTTATTTCTTATATAAGGACTGTTAATATAGCGAGGTGAGAACAAAGCAAAATAAAAATGTTTCTCCTCTATACTTTCCAAAATTTGAACTTTCTTCAGTAAGAATACAAAAACAAAAAGAGGGAAATAATTTATTTAATAATAACAAACTGAAGATAGCAACTAAATGTATATCTATAAACTTTATAATAATACAAATTACATCTATATACAAATGCCTACATTCCATATTGATAATGAAGGGTATAAGCCAAGTTTTAATAATAGTCACTTTGCATGAAGATTTGGACTGGATAGAAAAAGAATTTATATTTATGCATTCCTACTTGAAATGTTTTTTTCACAATGAAGATGGCAATATTTTCATACTCAAAATAAATTTGACAAATGAAAATGTCTGCTATAAAATTTTAACACAGTTCAGTATAAATGAATATTATACAAGGGGAAAAAATAAAAAGTATTTCTGTAAGGTCATGTAAACCTTTATTAAACAAAAATGTCAAAATGTTAAGATACTGTTTCTTCACCATACCTCCATTGAGGTCTTTAACTTTTGAAGGTAGTGTTTCCATCTCTCTTCGTTCTTCCCCGAAGAATTTTGTGTTCTTCAATTTATACCATACCAAAAAGGTAGTTTGTCCTCTTTACCAAAACCCACTGCCACTGCCTTCCAGTCTATTCTGGCTCATGGCAACTCTGTACAGTTTCTGAGGCTGTAAGTCTTTACAGAATGGATACCCTCATCTTTTCCCTGCAAAGTGGCTGGTGGGTTTGAACCACCAGCCTTGTGAATAGACCACAGCACCATTAGGGCTCCTTTTCAAATGGATGCATTTTGTGCCATGGAAAAATGATTATGAGCATCAAAATTTTAACAATATTCAAGTGGACATCTTCTGAAACCACTGAAGCTTTGTAACAAGTTGACAGGATGGCAGCCCCACATCAAACACTTGCAGGTCCCCCAATGAGATGAAGGCAAGTGCACTGCAGAGACGACTTGTCTGAAGCCATGAGTGATGGTAGAGGCCTATTTGAACATGCTCCGCTGGACTCCAGCCTGTACGTGTTCCACATGGGACCCTACGAGCCATACTTTTTGACTCACCCTCATAATTTATCCAGGCTGTCAAACTCTTTCTTAGATTGGGACTTGATGAATGATTCTTTCACTGGGATAAGAAGGATTTTTTAAAATCTATTTTGTAATACATAAAATTCAGTTCTCTTTTTTCTTAAATGTAAATGTTTAATAAATTATCAATTTCTGGATTAAAATGAGGTTGTTGTTGTTGTTGTTAGATGCTATTGAGTCAGTTCTGAGCCACAGCAACCCAATGTACAACAGGAGGAAACACTGTCTGGTCGTGTACCATTCTCACAATTATTCCTATGCTTGAGCCCACTGCTGCAGTCAAAGCGAGGAAGGCCCTCAATGAGAGACTGACACAGTGGTTGCAACCGGTATAACATTCTCACAATTATTCCTATGCTTGAGCCCACTGCTGCAGTCAAAGCGAGGAAGGCCCTCAATGACAGACTGACACAGTGGTTGCAACCGGTATAACACCCTGGATGGTTTATGCAGGTATAATTCTGACCTCAGAAAAATCTTCAGGTAACGGTGAGCCATCACAGTCCGTGTCTTCTGCTCTCTCTTCAGACAACCTCCCATTGGTGTTCTGTGTATCTGAGAGAGAAATAAATATGCCAAAGCAATTAATGAAACTAATGAAGCAGTAGAAAATTTTCTTCATTTACGTGTAAAAGAGGGAAGTAAATAAATATACACAAATCGGCTCAATGTTCTAAGTGGAAAGGTTATAAATAAATGTCAAGAGCATCAAATATCTATTTGCATTTATCGACTGAAAGTGGACTGACTCAAGAATGGCTTAGTATCATTTGAGGGAAAATATTGCAACAAAGACTCTTAAAAGCAACAGCTATGATACAGAGGATATTTTGAGATCTCATTAATAAGATAAACCACTCAGCACTATTTTACGGTGGTGATGGTGATCTTATATTTTCCATCAGTGAGAAATAGGAGAAGCCACTAATATAGTTTATATTTACTCCAAAATGGTCCTGAGAGATGTCCTGGTATTCCTTAACTTACGAACGTAGGTGTTCCGGTTCACCTACCTGGAACACAGGCATCTCCTGCTGCGTTATTTTGGTTTAAAAGATTCTGGGCCTCCTCATCTACAACGTCCAACAGAGACTGGATAACTTCAGCTTCTTGAGGATCATCATAAATATCATCTTCTTGTATATCAGACTCTTGGAAAACAATCATTTACATGTGATTTCACATTAAAAATGTTTGTATGGCTGACACTAAGGGTTCAATAGAAAGTAAATGTCTAGAAAAGATGATGGTAACATATGTACAAACATGCTTGATATAAACTGATGTATGGATTGTTGTAAGAGTTGTAAGAGCCCATTAAAATGATCTTTTAATAAAAAAAAATTGTATGTGCAGAGACACATTGCTAGTAGAATATGTTGCTTTCAATGTACGGCCACTGAGTCTATTCAGGCTCATAGTGACCCTCTACAACACAGCAGAGCTGCCTCCATAAATCTTCACAGGAGTAGACTGATGGACAGATCTCTTTCCTGTGGTGGGTTAGCAGCTCCGTGCACAGCCCACTACACCCCCTGGGTTCCTGAGAATATGCGGCTAGGTTCTTTTACATTTTAAGACTCCGCCTTTGAAAACAGAGATGCCCTGGAGACACAGTGCTTTAAGAGCGTAACTACTTCAATAAAAAGGCAGGTCAAATCCACCAGCCGCTCAGCCGGACAAAGATGGGGCATTGTAGTTCTATAAAGATTATGGCCTAAGAAATCCCCTTGGGCAGTCTAGCCTGTCCTCTGGAGCTGTTATGAGTTGGAATCCACATGAGGTCAAGGGGCATGGGTGTGCTTTGAAAAGCAGCCATGACTGGAAACATAGTTTACCATAACAAGCCCTGGTGTTTCTCATCATAGTAATTCTACAACTATCCTGGCTGTTAAAGACCAAGAACACACAATCTAACTGCAGCCTGCAGAGAACAAACAAAACTCAGTGATGCTGGGGACACACATTTTTGTGTTGTGGTTCATAATACTTGAATTTTTGGTGAGAGTTTACACAGCAAGTTCAATTCCCATCCCACGATTTCCACACACATTTTTGGTGATTTTAACATTTTTCAAAATGTTGTCAACATTCTTGTTAAGTTGTTCCCTGTCTAGTAACCAATTTTTCTGCCTCCTTGTCTCTTGCTCTTTGTTTTTGAGTAATTTTTGGCATTGTCTTATACTGGTGGACTAAGTAGAGCACTGACCTAAGGGGTAACAATTGAGTATTTTATTTTGATGGCTACTCTGCTGTTTTTCAAAAAGATGGTCTCAGGAGAAAGGATGTCACAGGGTGATAGTCTCAGGATATCAGTCTGTTTTCTACTTTCTGGATTTTCTTTTTCTTTTTAACTAGTGTTTTGAGTTCTGCTTCACATTTGACTTTAATACTATCTGGGACCAACTACTGGGGTGGCATCTTAGCATCTTCTAGTTCTTCTGGGTCTCAGAATACAAGTGTTTGTGGCCCATATAGATTTGCTGATTGTCTGCATTTTTGCTGACCTTCTTACTGCTTTGTTCGTGGGTAATAAGAGATCCATCAATTTGCCTTATACGGCTGCTTGCAAGCTTTTAGTTTACAGATGCTACTCCTGTCACTAGGCTACAGATCAGTGGTTCTCAACCTGCTGATGCAACACCTTTGGGGGTGTTGAACAACCCTTTCACAGGGGTCACCTGATTCACAGCAGTAGCAAAATTATAGTTTTTGGAAGTAGCAACTAAAGTAATTTTATGGTTGGGATGGGGGGGTTACCACAACATGAGGAACTGTATTAAAGGGTCGTGGCATTTAGGGAGGTTGAGAACCACTGCTACACATTAAAATTGCTGTGAATTAGGTTATGCCAGTTAACTGAGTTATCCCATGAGACTATAGTCCTGTGACATGTCTTCTAACCCAGAAAACCAATTCTGGAAGGTGTCTGGTAATGTTTGAGACACATTCACATTTGTGTCTTTAATCAATACATATGCAAATACTCATGTCTAAAGGAGCTTCTGAAAACTTTAATTGTGAATTGGTTGAAGGTTTGCAGAGTAGATCATCCATCTATTTTGTTTCACCTCATTAATGATCATCCCTTCAGTGTAATATCACTTACCCCATTTCCTCCCTGTATTTCCTGTTTCCATTTCTCCTTCCCTCCTAAAGCAGCTGACCGTTGTCCTTGGGTGAGTGCTGCCCTTTGCTCTCAAACAGTTGGTTGTTCTAAGGTGTGGACCTCACTGAGCTCCTGCTCTTCTTACGGACATGTCTATTGCTAAGGCTGACAACTGAGCCGGAGCAGGAGCTCAGATTCAGACCTCCAGGGTACCAGGAAGGGCCACAGTCCCGGAAGTTCCATCATTATCTATGGGACTAGTAAGACTGCTTTCTTTTATGATTCTGAAAAAGCTATTATCTTTTTTTTTGTTTTGAATATTTATTTCAAAGAAAAACAGTAAACTAGCTGTAAGTGGAAAAGAGGGTCAACATAAACAATACGGTTTGAACAATACCTTTAAAAGTACAAAAACCTTAACTCAATCAGCAACCAAGCTAAAATACAAGAGTTAAATTCCTTCAAAACTGGATTCTTCCTCCCCATCTGTCTGTCCAAGCAGAGCTTCAGCTATAGCTGGTGTGAGGCTATCAGCATAGACACCGTCCTCTCCCTGAGTTCCCAGTCATCCCCATCACTGCCGTCGTTCTCATACAAAGCACCGTCTTAACTGCCACCCATGGCATTACTAAGGCCACCTTTCTTGAAGGCGCATTGCACCATGTCCTCTGGAATCTCTTCCCATGCATCACGAACCCTAAAGCTATTATCTTTTAATTCCATTCTCATAAACTTTTTTGATGTCCCCTCATATTTGTTGTTACACGAAACTAGATACTTTCATCTGTTCCACTTATTCAAACATTTGTACCTATGAATGTACCAATTTGCTACTGACATAGCTTTTCATGAGACATTAATAAGTTAATATTTATCTTCTTAAATTAATCTCAAATAACTTGAGAAAAATACACATATAGAGTGCGCTAGAGATTAATGATTTATCAGCCCAAGTATCCTTGAGAGAAAATTTCTAAGCTACTAGGAAGCCAATGGATGGCTGCTTCACAAAATCAACAGAACAGGTATCTCTCCAACCAACTGAAAAGAATTTTATTTTCAGAGATAAAGATGGATGTTGGCCATTTGCACAGTAATTCAATTGACATTATTTTTTACATTGTTCTTTTACTTCTTTTTTTATTTTTTTAAATCATTTTATTAGGGGCTCATACAACTCTTATCACAATCCATACATACATCAATCGTGTAAAGCACATTTGTACATTCATTGCCCTCATCATTCTCAAAACATTTTCTCTCCACTTACACTCCCGGCATTAGGTCCTCATTTTTCCCCTCCCTCCCTGCTCCCCCCTCCCTCATAAGCCCTTGATAGTTTATAAATTGTTATTTTGTCATATCTTGTCCTGTCCGACACCTCCCTTCGCCCACTTTTCTGTTGTCCGTCCCCCAGGGAGGAGGTCACATATAGTTCCTTGTAAAGCCAATCTTTATTTTTAAAGTTACAGTAGCATGTAAGGCAAACAAAGATGATTTTTTTTTTTTCTTACCTGAATTCAGGCATTTAGAGTAACTCTCTACTGGCTCATTTGGAAAGCTAACTTGGGACAGGGTCACATTTGTTGATTCTTTCATCTGGTAAGTAAAGCCTTTTCCTTCAGTGTGCAAAACTTCAATTATTCCTTCTCCATTAACCTAAAGAATAACATAATAACATATTTTTAGTTTACTTCTTATACCGATTTCTAGGATTAGTCAGGGAATGTACATTGCCTCCCCTTATTGTTCTCCTTTTCCTTTACATTTTTATTTGTATAAATTGCTGCTCAGAATAGGGGGACCATTTCTCTGGCTCCTTTGCAGCAAGATATGGCCATCTTCTTAAATTTTAAATTCTGGCCAATGAGATAGAAGTAGAAATGCACAGACTTCTGGGAAGTGTTTCTAAAAGGAGGTGGCATGCCCTTATTCACCCCATCCTATTCTATGCTTCCTCTAGTGCATGTGATGACTAGAGTCCTAGAAACCTTCTTGGGCCACGAAGATGGGAATGGTACCCTAGAGATGATGCAGTGATGTGTTGGAAGAAACTTGGGTCTCTGAGAACTAAGGAGCTACCAAACCAAAACTGTGGAGGATCTACCTCCAGTTTTTATAAACGTATGAGAGAGTAGCCCTTTAAATGTTTTGACTTTATTTCCTGTAAAACCTTCTCATAATTAACAAGAGTACCTGATTAATTCATTAAATGGATTTTTAATGATTTGTTCAAGTCTAGCTATTTTAGTTCAAGAATAATAATCCCCCACATCATTTGTGACAGTTTTCTTCACTGATAATACTCATTAAAGGGGCTCATTTTATATAGCGATAAAATCCTAAGAGAGATAAAGATTTTCATCCACCAACTGCCACCAGATGATTTTGACTTCTAGTGACCCCAAAGGGCAAATAATTTCCCCATGGGGCTCCTAGGTTGTAAATATTTATCGTACATACATCACCTCATCTTTCTCTCATAGAAGAGCTGGTGCATTTGAATGACCAACCTGTTAGTTTAATCCACTGGGCTAAGAGAGTTCCTACAAATTTATTCAGAGGATGCTTAAATGTAATTAGCATGGAAGGGTCATTATAAGGAAGACCAGAGGTTTAAAGAGAAAGACAAATTTGTGAATTAGGTGAAGGTTTACCCAGTAGATCGTGGCTGCACATTCAACAATTCATATACATTCTGATTCAATTCATTCAGTGCAATCCCCTCAATGTACCATAGCTTATCCCATTTAGTTCCCATGTTCCTGTCTCCATCCCCTTCCATTTCTAACCTTTGAACTTTATCCTTGAATGAATGCTGTGGTTTTTCTCTTAAATGTTTGAGTAGTCTAATGTGGAGGTGAGTTCCATTCCAAACCTGAACAGTAACTAAGGGTCACAGTCTTGGGGAGATTCCCATCAGTCTCGTAAGACTGGTTTCTTTTATGCGTGTGCCTTCTGCTCCATGTTTCTTTCACTCTATTCAGGACTTTCTAATGTAATCCTTTTCACAGCATTTGGTCGTGATAGCCGGGCACCATCTAGTTCCTCTGGGCTAGCATTACAGAGACAGGTGTTTGTGTGGTCCATTAGTTCACTAGACTAATTGCTTCCAGGTATCTTTCTGTTTTCATCACTCCCTTTCTCTTGGTGTTAAGAAGTCCATAGTTCCAATTTAGATGGCTGCTCACAAGCTTTTCAGTCACCAAACTTAGGACAGAGAACATTGTTTGGTGAACAATTGATCTTGGTGTCCCCCAAGACTACGGTCCTAATGCCTTAAGGCCGAGTGACTCATCCCTTCAAGATGTTTAGTTATATCTAAGTATATTTCATGGCTTTGCCCCCTGATATGTATCACCATGGAAAAACTTGCAGCAAAAGTAAATACCCCTACAGAAATGGCCTCTGTCAACACCCAAACCAACCATACTGTCATTGATTCAATTCTGACTCATGGTGATACAATAGGCCAGGGAAGAACTTCCCCCCTAGAGTTTCCAAGACTACAGCTCTTTACAGTAGAAAGCCTGAGCTTTGCCCCAAGGAGCAGCTGGTGGTTTCAAACTGGTGAACCTGTGGTTGGCGGCCCAGCACGTAATCAGTACACCACCAGGACTCCTGCCATCCTCTATCAAACATATATATATTCTCATACTCTCCCTTTCCCACGTAGTCAGCCTGCAGGTCTAGCCAAGCATCTACTGACAGATCTCCACCACTGCAGGACTGTGCATAGAACAGCACTGGCCTCGGTTGCCTTTAACTCTTGCAAGCTTTGCTGAGCCCTTCCCTGCCTCTGTCATTTCTTCAGAACCTCCTCCTTAGTGAGTACTGTCTGCCCCTCCCCAAGTCATCCTTTAGTCCGTGACATCCCTACCTTCCTCTCCCTTTGACTCCTAGTAATCATCAAAGAATGCTGGTTCTTGTGTGAAAAGCTATTCGAGACTTTTTCTAATAGTAGTCTCACACAGTATTTGTCCACTTGCGCTTAACTCATTTCACTTTCACTGAGCTTAATGTTCTCCAAGTTCATACATGTTGTGAAGTGTTTCACAGATCCATCACTCTTCTCTAGTGTTGGGATTGCATTTCGTTGTGTGTATGTACCATTTATCCATTCTTCTACTGCTGGGAATTTAGTCCCCCACCCCCCTCCACGTGTTTTTGTGAATGGTGCTGCAATGAACATGGGTAGGCATCCATCTATTTGTGTCACGGCTCTTATTTTTCTAGGATATATATACCAACTACAAGCATTGCCGGGTCATATGAAATTTCCATTCCAAATTTCTTGAGGAAGTGCCACACTGCTTTCCACGGTGGTTGCACTCTTTTGCAGTTCCGCTAGCAGCGGATCAGGGGACCAGTCTGTTCTGTCTCCAGCATGGTTATCTGGTTTATTTTTAACATTGCTAAGAACATTGGTGTCAGGTATTATCCTATAGTTTTGATTTGCACCTCTCAAGTCGCTAGTGATCTTCAGGATTTCTTCATGTTTGTTGGCCCCGGAATGTCTTCTTTGATGTGTCTATCAACATCAATTTTTATATTATACAGATTAGCCCTAGGTGGGTTTTTAATTTAATTTTTATTATTAAATTATTTAAGCTAAACTATATGAAGATAATTACTGAGTGGAAAAAAAAAGCAGAATAATCTATGGAAAGAAGAAATGCCTCCAATTATGACATTTTAACATGTCTTCAGTTGTGGTAACTTTTTTGTTGTTGAGACTTTTGAGGTTTTATTCCATTTTCTAGTCTGTCAAGATTGTTTTGACTTAGGATTTTCTTTCTTTTTTTTTAAATCAATTTATTGGGGCTCATACAATTCATCACAATACATAGATCAATTGTGTAAAGCACATCTATACATTTGTTGCCCTCATTATTCCCAAAATTAGCTTTCCTCTTGGGTTCCCGGAATCAGCTCATTTTCCTTTTTTCCCCTCCCCCTCCCTTCCTCCTCCCCTCTCCCCCATGCACCCTTGATAATTTATAAATTATTATTGTATCTTATATTACACTGTCTGGCGTCTCCCTTCACCCACCCCTCTGCTGTAACTCTTAAAATAAATTAAGCGTGTAGCTGATAAGTGCTCTGCATCACCTAACGACGACTTGCCACGGGGCAACGTCCTTTCTATAATCTAGAGCTCTTCTGTTACAAGTAAGGACAGCGGCTCTTTCACTAGAAAATCATGTTGAGTAGACTCTGACTTTCTAATTCCATGGTCAATTGTGAAGCCCTTCATAGAGCATAGCCTGTGGGGAAATCTAAGTGATTCAAATACATTGACAGAAATAGTACACAAAGAAAAGTGTGTGGTGCATTCTGAAGGCCTTACTCTTGTTAGTAAAACAAAAATGGTGCAGGGTGGATGGAATGTGATTATTTCTTCATAAATGTTACATTAGTTAGTTATGTGTTCTCGAAGCTCCTAGTGACCCAATATACAAAAGAATGAAATTTTGCCTGGTCTGGGTCCTCAAAATTATTATTTTGAGCCCATCATTGTAGCCACTGTGTCAATCTATCACAATAACAGTTTTCTCTTTTTCAATGACCCCTTATTTCACCTAGCAAGATGTCCTTCTCTAGGGATTGGTGTCTCCTGATAACATGCTTACAGTGTGTAGGATGCAGCCTCACCATCTTCCTTTTAAGGAGTATCTGGCTATATTTCTTCTAGTGCAGGCAACCCATGGTATATTTAATATTCTTCACAAGACTGTAATTCACATGCACTTCTTCTTTATTCATTGTCTAGCTTTCACATGCATGTGAGGCAACTGAAAATTTTTTGGCTTTGGTCAGGTGCACCTTAGTCCTCATACTTGGTTATGAACTTCCATTCTTCATAAGAAATTCATAGTACAGACATTAACATTCAAGGAAAGAATATCATCTGGAAGACTTCCTGAAAGATGTTTTAACTGGAGAAAAATAATGCTAGCAGCTGCAAGCAACAAAAGCCCTGGTTTCCAGGGCTTGTTAGTTTAACAGATACTCTACATCCTTTCTTTAACCAGATGCTGCGGACATTTAAAAAGAAAGGAAGCACTGGACAGCATGAGGGATACTAGAAAGACATGAAAATTCCGTTTTAGTTGTGCGAAATTGAAGACCTTCTGAACAAACAGAGAAGTAGGGTTAATGTTGTTACCTCAATCCATATAATGCAAATAACCAAGGCATTCATTTTAATTTGGGGGTCCGGGTTATTTCTTCCTTGAAGTCCTTCTGTTGCATTTCATCTGTTTCAGGGTTTACTAAAGCAAGTCACGTGTGTGAGTTGACACAGCAAGGTCAAACTACAGAACTTGGTGCTTTTAGTTACTACATTTGAGCCCTCCTCCTACAACAAATGCAACTCTTTCCAGCACTTGTTGGGATTAAGTATTTATGGATTACTTAGAAATGCCTCAGTGCTGTAGTGCATATGGAAATAAATTCAACTAGTGTGTTTCAGAAGGGATTATATGAGATATATGAGGGACAAAAGTTTCATAAAACAAAGAGCTAGCTGTAAGCATCTGCAAGATGAACATGACATGCCAGAAAGAAAATCATAAAAAGGCATGTTAGTCAAAATAGGGAGCATATATGCAGCCTTAAAGAGAGAGTAAAAAGTGGACTCTAATTAGAGTCTAATTAGACGTGAAAATAATTTTGTTGTGTCCCTGCTGAATTTCTCTGCAATAACCTTATATAACTACACCCTTTCATTTTACTACATTTGCACTGTGGGTAGATATTGTCCTGCTAACTGCTCAAGCAGCCACTCTGTGGGATTAAGATGAGGCTGTCTGCTCCCAGGAGGAATTACATGGTTTTGAGCGGACTTCTTTTTGAAGGCACCCCAAAAAACTTGTCGACAGCCACCCGCTAATTACAAAGAGATGGACAAACGCACTGCTTGCAATAAACTTGTGCACGCATGAACTGGAATTCCAATAGCAATGCTTTTTGACTCACCCTGGATAAAAATGTAAAGACGACCAAGACTTAAAATATGACACCAGTTCAGTTTCAGACTCAAACAAGTGGGTGACAGGGTTAAGTTAGTATGACATGCAAGCGTTTATTTACCTTGGAGAAAGAACTTTGAGGAGTGAGAGCAGCAGGCTTGCTGCAGGGCTCCACGCTGCGATGGCCTGAGAAGAACAACATATGTAAGCGGAGGAGCCCAGGAAGAACAAAACAGAGACATCACAATCATGAAGACAAAGCCACATTTCAGAGGATGCTATGTTACTAGTACACTAAAGAAGGCCCCATCCCAGGGTAATGTAAAAGCAAATTGAATCAAATATGAGAAAAAGGTTTGTTCCAAGAACCCCCGCCCACCACCAATTTCTTAAAAGAAAATGGTTCAAAGAAAAGACAAGATTGGGCTGAATGGCTTAAGTGTGAGGTCTTTTAAATAAGTGATTCCAACCCAGTGGGAAGAGACATCACAGATATTGAACTATATTTATTATTTAAAGAAAGCTAGCTTTTTCTTTGGTCACGTGGAAAAGTAAATAATAAAGGCTATCGATTCAACCCAGGCAAGTAAGCCATGGATACAACAAAAAAGGGCCTCTGATATATTTTTAAACCAAAAGCTAACTTTAACTCGTAGCCATTAGTGGAAAAGCTAAATGCATGTATTAAAGTGAGTAACTATGGTTTTATTGTTATATAACACCACATATTTAAAAGTGGTTTTAGTTCAGTTTATTTTCCAGAGATTTAGAAAGATGAGAGTTTTTAAAAAAAATCTTAAAATGAAAACAGGAAAATTTTAGCACAGCTAATTCTATCTCCTATGTAAGGAAAATCGAAACATAATAAGTAAACTTCTATCGAGAGAGATGAAGACAGATGGAATTTTTCGGGATAATTTTTTATATTTTTGTCGCTGATGTTACAAAGAGCCCAAGGATATCTTTTGGCATCACTTTTAAGAGAGATTATATTCATTAAATTTATCTAGAAAAAAATAAAGAAAAACAACACCAATTATAAACCTCTGTCCTGTCCCCTGACAGAGTCCTCAGGCAACCATTGTTTGTTTGTTTGTTGTTATGTGTTAAATCAGATTCATCTGCAATTTCTATAATTTTGTGTAAGTGGGTTTATACCTATCATGATCCCAGTTCTGCCTTACAAATCTGGCTAGACCAGAGCAGGTACACAGGTAACAGATAAGAGCTGGGAACACAGGGAATCCAGGACAGATAACCCCTCAGGACCAATAATGAGAGTAGCGATACCATGAGGGTAAGGGGAAGGTGCGGGGAGAAAGGAGGAACCGATCACAATGATCTACATATAACGTCCTCCCTGGGGGACAGACAACAGAAAAGTGGGTGAAGGGAGACATCGGTCAGTGTAAGACATGGAAAATTAATAATTTATGAATTATCAAGGGTTCATGAGAGAGGGAGGGTAGGGATGGAGGGGGAAAATGAGGAGCTGTTGCCAAGGGCTCAAGTGGAAAGAAAATGTTTTCAAGGTGATGGTGGCAGCAAATGTACAAATGTGCTCGACACAATGTATGTATGTATGTATGCATTGTGATAAGGACTGTATGAGCCCCCAATAGAATGATAAAAAACAAAACAAATCAAAACGCTTTTTCTAATCTGGCTTTCACTCAGCAAAATTACTTTGATTATATTATTGCATGTATCAACAGTTCATTTATTTTTAATGCTTATTCCATTAGGAGCCCAGGTGGCATAGTGGTTACACATTTGGCTGTGATCCCCAATGTCAGCTGTTTGAAACCACCAGCTGCTTCCTTGGTAGAAAGATGGGGCTTTCTACTCCCATAAAGAGTTATAGTCTCAGAAACTCAAAATGGGGAAGTTCTACTGTGTCCAACGGGGTCCCTATGTGTCACTACTGCTTGGATGGCAGTGAATGAGTGCGGTTTTCCATTAAGGGGCTGCTAACAGCAAGGGAGGTACTTCAAACCCACCAAGAACTCTTCAGGACGAATAGTCTTTGGTGTGCATATACAGGTATGCATGCCCATGATAAGCCCTATGGAACTGGATGCTATGTCATTTGGATGTGGTGTGAATACTGTACTAAACCCTATGGAAGCCTGCTGCTGCTGCTGCTGCTGCTG